GGAATCCTGGGAGGGAAGAGCCGGGAAGCCTAGAAGGGAAGAGCAGAGAATGCTGGGAGGGAAGAGCATAAAATCCTGGGAACCTGACAGGGAATGCTGGGAAGGAAGAGCCAGGAAGCCTGAGAGAGAAAAGCAGGGGATGCTGGGAAAGAAGAGCGGAGAAGCCTGAGAAGGAAGAGCAGGGAATCCTGGGAAGAGTGGGGAATCCTGGGAGGGAAGAGCAGAGAATGCTGGGAGGGAAGAGCATAAAATCCTGGGAACCTGACAGGGAATGCTGGGAGGGAAGAGCCGGGAAGCCTGAGAGGGAAAAGCAGGGAATGCTGGGAGGGAAGAGCAGGGAAGCCTGGGAGGGAAGAGCAGGGAAGGCTGGGAGGGAAGCGCGGGGAAGGCGGAGGGGAGCAGGAAATGCTGGCAGGGAATAACAGGGAAGGCTTGGAAGGAAGAGCTGGGAAGCCTAGAAGGGAAGAGCAGGGAATCCTGGGAAGAGTGGGGAATCCTGGGAGGGAAGAGCAGAGAATGCTGGGAGGGAAGAGCATAAAATCCTGGGAACCTGACAGGGAATGCTGGGAGGGAAGCGCGGGGAAGCCTGAGAGGGAAAAGCAGAGGATGCTGGGAGGGAAGAGCTGGGAAGCCTGGGAGAGAAGAGCCGGGAAGCCTGGGAGGGAAAAGCAGGGAATGCTGGGAGTGGTTCCTGACATAATTAAGTCCTAGGGCAAGTGCAACAGGGGACCTGCCTGGGAAGTGTTTTTCTGCTGGCCACAGAGCATGTTGTGACCAGGCACGAGGAACTAGGCAGAGGAGGCTGAACTCCATGACCCTCACTTCCAGCCTGGCCCCAGCTCTTGGATACAGGCCCAAGCATATGCCTGAGAGGGTCTCAGCGGGACACAGCCTAGGTCCCCACCCACCTGGGCACTGAGGGAAACCAAAGCTCAAACTTCCACTGGCCAGGAGGGACAGGGTCCGGGTGACCACTGGATCACAAGGGAACCCTGGCCAACCCAGGAGCATGACTCCACCGGCTCTCAGTTCCCCATCCCTGCCAAGCCTTAGCCGAGACAGGGGTCCTCTGCAGCCTTTGGGTATCTCCTTAGGCACCCTGCCTCGCCACCAGGGTCAATCACTCCTCTGACCTTCAGTCCCAGAAAAAGCAGCGAAGAGCAGGAAGTACAGCAGAGGGCGTGAGGAGGCGCAAGGCTTCCACCTAGGGAAGCCAAGTCACACTCTGGGCTTCTTGGGGACAGTGGAGGCCAGAAAAGGCCAGCTCGTGCTTTCTGCCTGCCTGGCTGCTTGGGGTCAAGAGAGGCAAGCTCAGGGTCACTAAAGTCAGAGGGCCTACTGGTTGGAGGCCTAACTGGCTGTGGCCAGGGGGGGCCCGGGGGTGGTGTTCCGGGCAGGCTCGAGCCCCACTGCTTTTGCCAGACTCACTGGGGATTCCGGACACCAGCTTCAGGGGCCTCAGCACGCGCACAGCACGCAGCGTTCGCAGGTCGAAGTCGGTGCCAGCTGTGGCCAGGATCCTGGCAGGGACAGAAAGAAAAGTAAGGGCTTCCCACTGAGGCGCGAGGACAACACACCCCTCCCACCACCAGCATCCTCTCTTCCAAAAGCAGTGTGACACCTTGGTGCCTGTGTCTCCCACTGTCAGAGCATGGGGCTGGAACAGGGTGTGGGTCCTCACCAGCAGTATCAGCAGGGGATATGACCAGCATGACCTTCCAGTTCACAGGCATCCCCTTTGAGAAGACCTTGGGTCTCTGGCCACCGTATGGCCTTGACTCTGTCCTCCAGTTGAGTCCAAGCCTGAACCTTGTCCCCAAACCAACACTGACTGCAGTCCAAGCTGCCTCGGGAGAGGGTGAGGAGTGGGTGCAGGGGTGAGATGCAGGCCGTGGGGCTCCTGAGCAGGCCCCACATGCTGCCCTCACTCATCCTACGTCATGACAACAGAGAAGGTGGACCAGGGGGCTCAGAGGACCCAGAAAACCATCCCAATCAGTTCCATGAAAACATATCCCTACGTCTGCCATCTTAAAAACAAACAGAAGATCCCGTATCCATCTCTCACCATAGCACATTTCTGAGCTCCCTTCACACCGAAACTCATCGAAAGGGTCTATCGCTACTCTCCAGAGACTGCCTCGCCTTTCCGCCTCTAACTTTCTCCAACTTGCTTCAGTGGGACCCCCATGGTCCCACTGAAACACTGTGTCGAACCCTCTTCTTGCCCATTCCAATAGTTAAGTCTCCTTCTCTAAATGGTTCCTTCTCTTCCTCTTTGGTCAATTTTCTCCTTGTTCTCTTAACTCCCCAGCTGCCGCTTCTAGGACTTGTCAGCTTTACCTTCAATACCAGACTCAAAACCTGGACACCCCAGGACTCAAGCCATTTGGGACCCGCCCAAGAGCTTTGAATGACACCGTATGCTCATTACTGCCAAGCTTACACCTTCAACTCAGATCTGGAACTCTGGGCTCATATATCCAACTGCCTTATAAACATTTCCACTTGTATATCAAAAAAAAGCACATCAAACATCATGCAAATAAAGAACTCTTTCTTGAACTTTAATGTGTTAAAAATGTACTTTTTTAAAAATTCGGTGTTGTTTCATCATGGTGACTAAAGAATGTTTGCTTCATACTCCCGATCTTGCAACCCCAACTCAGTGGCCAGTCAACTGTTATTTAAGCCAGAAGCATTAGTAGCTGTATTACTGCATGTCGGTAATTAAATTGCACGATTAAATGAGAATAACATAAAAATATATTTCAAAGAAAAGTCATATGTATAGAAATTCTCAAAATGCACAACTAAATAACTATTAAAGAAGTAACCACAAAAATTACCAAATATTTAGAACTCATCAAAAACACTGCATATTAAAATGTGTGGCGTGGGGCCCATCTGGTTAAAGCGATGTTTTAGGGGAAATCCCTTAACTTAAATGATTTTATTTTTTAGAAGACTGAAAATAAATAAACCAAGCCTTGGTATGTCTCAAGAATCTTTAGAAAGAACAGCAGAGTATATTTTGAGAAAGTAGAAAAATGGAAATAATAAAGATAAGAGTAAACATGGTTAAAATAGAAAACAGAAATAATAGAAAGCTGAATCTTTGAGATTTTAATAAAACAAACAAACTTCTGACAAGAATAATCAAGACAAAGGGAGCGCTCACATACATACACGCACAAACACAGGTACTGATACATATAGTACTGCATGCACGCACACGTACACTCATGCATATGCATGCATGCACACATGTACACACACGTGCCATGAACGTATGTACATACAGTGAACATAACTACAAACAGGAGAGGTTTTTAGAATCACGAGAACAATATTAACAATTTTATGCCAATAAATGTTAAAACTTTGATGAAATGGATATATCCCCTAAAATTCAAATTACCAAGTGACTGAAGAAGTAGAAAACCTGAATAAACCATGAACTACTCTATTAGTTTTCTATTGCTGTATAAACACTTACCGCAAGTTGGATGACTGAAATAGCACCACCTATTAGCTCAGCGTGTAGGTCAGAGGTCAGGGCACCTCGTGGCTAGGTTCTCTGCTTAGGGTCTCACAGGCTGAAATCCAGGGGTCAGCCTGCTGCATCCTCACCTGGAGGCCAAACTGAGGAGCATGGTGCTCGGCCGCAGGCTGTCTGCAGAATCATGTCCTCGCAGTGGGAAGGGAGTCCCACTGTCTTGCTGTCAGCTTGAGATTTCCCTTTGCTCTAGGAGGCCACCCTCGGGCCCTTGCTACTTGGCCCCCGACAGTCCCTCTCACACTTCTAAACTCTGACTTGAGGAAGGGAACAATCTGGTTGGTCCCACCTGAACACGCACCCTTTGGGTTGACTCAAAGTCAACCGATTAGCAAACCAGTCGCAGGAGTGATACCTCCTATCCAGATCTGGTCCACTCTCATGGGAGGTGACTGCGTGAGTGTGCAGGCAAGAGGCACGAATCTTGAGATCATCTTAGAATTCTGCCCAGCAAAACCATTTACAAAAATGAATTTGGATTCAGGTTTCCTTTGCCGGAATATCAAATTCAGAACAGATAATTCCTCCAAACCAACTGTTTCAGAGAATAAATTACAAGAAAAGCTCCCCAATTCATTTGACGATGCAAGTATAATTTTGATGTCAAACATGGAGAAGGACGAGAAAACTTTATTCTCATCTCAATTATGAACATAAATATTAAATACAGTACTAGTAAATAAAATTCAAAGGTACACATTTTAAGAGTATCCTAATGGCCAGTTGAGTTGTCATAGGAACATAAGAATAATTCAACAGTAGAATAACTATAAATGTAATCACAACATTGAAAATCAAAATAGAAACCATGCGATCATGTCGAAAGTTTCAGAAAAATTATTTGATAAAATTCCAATATCATTCATGGTAATAACTAGAAATAGAAGGAAAGTTCCTTAAACCGACAACGGGCGTCTCCTAACACCCAGCAGGTAGCGCCTCTCAGAGAACTCACGGTCACACAAGTGCACCATGGAACACGGGAAGGGCCGGGCCACGGCAGTAAGGCAAGAAATAAAATATATGAGGATTAGAAAGGAGGAAATGAACTGTCTAATTCCCAGAGAATGTGATTCCCACATAGAAAACCCAAAGGCATATACAGAAAAACCACTAGAACGAATTAGAAAGTTTAGCGAGGTTCTGAAATACCAAATAAATGGAAAGAAAATAAATTGTTTCATTTACAAGTAGAAAACACTATTTTGGAAAGATATTGTTCTGGTGGGTACAGGACTCCTTTCTGAGGTGATGAACATGCTCTAAAATTATGTATTGGTGATGGTTGCACAGCACTGTGACTATTCCAAAAATCACCAAATTGTATCAAATTGTACATTTTTATGTTGTGTGAATTATATCTCATAAAAATATTGGTTATAATACCAACAAAACCTACAAAGCATCTAGGAATAAACTCAATAAAATAAGTGCAATACTTTGATAATAAAGGTAAAAATAAACATTCTTGAAGAACAAGGAGATAACAGAAATAAACCGTACTGGTAGATGAGACAATTCAACATCACTAGATGACCCTGTTCCCCAAATTAATCTATACAAATTCAATGAAATTCCAGGAAAAATCTCAAAAGATCTTACATGTAGAAAACCCTAAATGTGTAGGAAATGCACCAAAAATTACCATAACTAATGAATTCAGCAAAGTTTCAAGATATAAAGTCAACACACAAAAAAATAAGTTGTATTTCTATATACTTGCAAAAAACAATCGAAACAAAGAAATGTTTTAAAAATCCATTTACAATAGTATCAAAAGAAATAAAATACTTAGGAATAAAATTAACCAAAGAGGAAAAAGACGAGTACACTGAAAATTGCCAAACACTGCTGACGGAAATGAAAGGACACTAAACGAACAGAATGACAGCTCATGCTCATTAATGAGAAAATCTAATACTGTCAAGATGTCAATACTCCCCAAGGCGATCTACAGGTTCAATGAAATCTCTATCAAAACTCCAATAACATTGTTTGCAGAAATAGAAAAACTCAACCTAAAATTCATAAGGAATCTCAAAGGACCCTGAACAGTCAAAATAATCTTGAAAAATAACGAAACTAGAGGACTCACATTTCCTGATTTCGAAACTTACTATAGTTTTCAGTGTGTAAGTCCTTCACTCCCCTTGCTAAGTTTATTCCTAGGTATTTTATTCTTTTTATTGTTTAAATGGAATTGTTTCATCGTTTCTTTTTCTGGCATTCCATTGTCAATGTACAGGAATGCAATGGATTTCTGTGCACTGATTTTGTGCCGCACGACTTTACTGTGTTTGTTTATCGTTTCTAACAGTTTTTTGGTGGCGTCTTTACGGTTTTTTATGCATAGAATCATGTCATCTGCAAAGAGTGACCATTTTACTTTTTCATTACCAATCTGAAAGCTCTTTATTTCTTCCTCTTGCCTAACTGCTCTGCCTAGGACTTTCAGGACTATATTAAATAACAGTGGTGACAGTGAGCATCCTTTTCTTGTTCCTGATCTTAAAGGAAAAGCTTTCAGCTTTTCACCATTAAGTGTGACGCTAGCTAAGGGTTTGCCATCGATGGCCTTTATTATGTTGAGGTACTTTCCTTCTATACCCATTTTACTAAGTGTTTTAATCATAAATGGACATTGTATCTCATAAAATGCTTTTTCTGCATCTATTGGTATGACTGTATGATTTCTATCCTTTATTGTGTTAATGTGGTGTATCACATGGATGGATTTGCAGAGACTGAGCCATCTTTGAGCCCCTGGAAGGAATCCTACTTGGCCATTATGTATTATCTTTTTAATGTGCAGTTTGCAAACAATACCTCTGATAAGGAGCTACTATCCAAAATATATAAAGAACTCATACAACTCAACAACAACTGAAAAAGTGGTCAGAGGATCTGAACACATTTCCTGAGAAGACATAAAATGGCCAACAGATATGAAAAGAGGCTTAACTTCACTAGCTAGATGGCAAATGAAAATCAAAACAACGAGATACAACCTCACATCAGTTAGAATGGCTATTATCAACAAGACAAGTAATAAGTGTTAGAGAGGGAACCTTCATACACTGCTGGTGGGACTGTAAACTGGTGCAGCCACTGTGGAAAACAGTATGGAGGTTCCTCCAAAAACTAAGAACTGAACCACTGTATGACCCAGCAGCCCCTCTTCTAATTATCTACCCAAAAAATCTGAAAACATTTATTCATAAAGATATATGTCCTATGTTCACTGCAGCATTATTCACAGTAGCCAAGACACAGACACAACCAAAGTATCCTTCAATAGATGACTGGATAAAGAAGCTGTGGTACATGTACACAATGCAATATTACTTGGCCACAGAAAGGATGAAGTCCTGCCATTTGTGACA